GGTTCGGGGTCGCCATGCAGACCCTGCGGGGCCACGTGTGAGGGGTGCGCCGAAATGGGGACGGTACCGCATGCGGGCGCAACCACCGTGGCCTTAGGTGGAGCTCCCGATGGGGCCACGGAGCGCGTGAGGAGCACGCCAACGTGGGGTGGTGGCGGCCTGCGGGCGCAACCACCGCGGCCTGAGGTGGAGCTCCCGATGGGGCCACGGAGCGTGTGAGAAGTGCGCCAACGCGGGGTGGTGTTGGCCTGCGGGCGCAACCACCGCGGCCTCAGGTGGAACTCCCGATGGGGCCACGGAGCGCGTGAGGAGCACGCCAACGTGGGGTGGTGGCGGCCTGCGGGCGCAACCACCGTGGCCTTCGGTGGAACTCCCGATGGGGCCACGAAGCGTGTGAGGAGGACGCCAACGTGGGGCGGCGGCGGCCCGCGTGCGCAGCCGCTGGGGCCGCAGGCGGAGCTCCCAGTGGGGCCACGAAACGTGTGAGGGGTGTGCCAAGGTGGTGGCGGCATGCGGGCGCAGAACACTGGGGCGGTAGGTGGACCTCCGAATCGGGTCACGGAGCGTGCGAACGGTGCCCCAAAGTGGTTTGGTGGCGGCATGCGAGCGCAACCACGGGGGCCCATGCGAAGAGCCCTTCATAAGCACGAAGCATGTGAGGGGCGTGCGAAGGTGAAGTGGTTGGAGAGAGGATGGAGGAGGGGGGGGAGAAAGAGGGAAGACGTCCTACGCCGCGGATTCAAAACGAAGACCCACCTCAACACAGGATGGTTGGGAAATCAACCTGCCGAAAGACCCAACGATGTGCAGGCGCGCCTGCCGTAGGGCAGGTGGGAAGAAGGGGGGGCCTTCTCTATGGGGCCACGAAAATGTGAGGAGTGACCGAAACAGGCGTGGCGCCGCCTGCTGGGTGTTGCCTGTTGGGCCTTCGGGTTGCGATCCCTGTGGACTGCGAAACGCATGAGGGGTGCGTCGAAATTGCAGCGGTGGCGCCCCCCAGGCGGCCACGAAACGCGTGAAGGGACGCCAAAATGAGGCAGAATGGGGCGGTGGTGCCACGCGGGCGCTGCCATCTGTTTTTTTTGGTGTTGCTTCTCCTGCCACGGAGCGGCGCGGCCGTGCGGAGGCGCCCGCCGCGGGGTGGGCCGCTGGCCGAAGCACGCCTCGGGCGCGCCCACGCTGCGGCCCTCCCCGCGCGCCTGGGTCACGCGACGGAATGGCCGGCCTCGACCATTTCGGCGATGCCAGCCATGCGTGCGCTGCCACTTGGGCCTCTGGCACTGGGAGGGCGTCAAATGTGGCGACAGCCTCGCGCCTCACATGTTGACTGGCGTGGAACCTCAGCAGCTTACTAGCAGCATTGCATGCGCATTGCCAATATGTATGCACGGGTGCGGGTTCCGGCCTCTTTCAGGCAGCGCTGACGCAGGGGGTCTGGTACCAGAGCGCACTGCTGCCCCCCAAGCGGTGATTGCACTTAGGGTGGTTTGCTTGTTTTCAAAAAGAACTGGGCTCCATTTCCGGGTGCGCCGTCTGTGTCGCGTTGCATGGTATTGCAATATCATGGCATTGCATTTTGATGGTTTGCATTCAATGTGTTGTTTAGTTTTGGCTGTCTCGAATTGCATTGCATTGCTTTGCGACGTGCTGCGCTGCTTTTGCGTCCCTGTGCATTGCGTTGCATTGTGACGCATTGTTATGAATTGTGTCGCATTGCACTGCGATACTAGTGAGTGAATTCGCATCGCATTACACTGCGTCGCTTTGCACTGCTCTGAATCGCACTGCATTGTGTTGCATTGCATTGATGGAACGCTGGTTGAGTATCATAGCAGAATGCACTCTGGGCGGCACCAGCAAGGTTGCCCAGGAAACGCCGTGGCTTAGAATGCCTGACGAGACGTGCCCAAGCCTGAGGCCTGGAAGTGCACCCTCGTCAAAACTGGCCCTTGAACTTGAGGGCGATCCAGGGTGGCAGGCGATTTCAAACACCAGTCAGAAGGACCCCGGGGGCCGCGCAACCCCGAAACGACTGAACGACATGGGAGCCCCCGAGGCACCGACTCGAGACCTTGGAACAACAACACCTCTTTGAAAATGCTCATTCACCACCGTCTACTCAATATCAAGCATTGACTAACGGACCTCGCCGATATAGGCCCCCCCAGGCATGTCCCCAGCCCCATCTCGATGGGACAAGGGAAACTTCAAAAGTTCAAGGCGGCATAAGGCATATCCATCCCAGAACACTGATCGAGCCTCCTACAACAGAGAACACCAAACCAAACTCACTCAGAAGCGTCAAAGCGGGACCACTGGGCCCTAACGAAAAAGGCAAATATATTGGACCACCGTGATAGTAAGTCTTCTCAAACTGAGCGAAAAGCCGCCTACTCGCAAGCTCCCATAGGTAGGCGAAAGCCGAGAACACGAGATGGGAACGAGCAACAACCGCGACCCCCGCAATGGCGACCACTTCATGTCCAACAATCCCCCAACCAGCAAAATCAGTCCCTTACCATTGACTGAAAGTCCGCACCCCCATGCGATGTTCCACCAAAGAAACTACACCAGCTGAGATCTCCAGAAACCACCTCGAGGCCCTGGGGGGGGGGCACTAAAAAATCATGGACATCACGACCTGAAGATAAAGCAATGCTCCGGATAGGCTGGCGTGCGATACTCTTCTTGCGCGCCAGCAATGCAGCCGGATAGGCTGGCTCACTCACCTCAGCAACGCGCGGCGTGCGGTGATCCGCACGCGAAGCCGGTGCACGCGGCGGGCGGGCTTCCGCACTCGACGCCGGACGACGGCCGTTGCTGAAGGGCTTCGAGGGCACGCTGACGAAAGCGCTCCTGGGCCGCCTCCCCCTCTGACTGGATCGTGTCAGCTGGACGTTCAAGCTGCACTGGTCATCTCAACGTATGTTTCTCGATGCTGCTTGGTTTTTGTAGCGACCTCCGTGAACGCGGCTCTGCTGTGTCAATACGTTCCTCCTTAAAAAATTCGAAGCTGGTGCGATCGGCCTCTGTAAACTTTGGCCTGGCAACATCGAGAGCATCGCCGAGTTCGAACTTGATGTCTGTATTCCAGCTGTCCTCAGCCAGCAGCTAATCGAGATGGGGAATGGTTTCCTGCTTGTCTTTCGACATTACCCTTGCAGCTTCAGCCGTCTCCCTTGGCCTCCGCCTTCTGCTCAGCGAGGAAGCACACCCCAACGCGGCGGTCAGCCGCCTCCACCTGCTTCTCCACCCGCAACCGAACGTCCAGCGCAGCCTGGAGACCACGCCGGCCTGTCGCTTAGCCACCTCTGGGCACGGGTTGGGGTCCGTCAGTCTGGACCACAGGTTCCTCGAAAAGGACCAGGGTCTCCTTCGCCTGTCTGGCAGGACACATGGGAGACACCTCGCGCAATTTGGCCGACGCCTCAGGCGGGAGGGCTCTTGGCAACTTGGACCGGCATGCAAGAGCGGATTGATAAACCTTTCCCGTGACCATCCAAGTTCAGTTTCGAGTTTGGCGCGGCAATGTATGCACACCAGCTTCTGGTGTAAATATGGTCCCACGCCCACCCTTAGGTCGGGCGTATCGGGCGCGTGCACTACAAGGAGCCTTAGCAAGAGTTTCAGCTCTGAGCCGAAGCGAGAGCTTCAGCTCTGCTTGGGAGGGGTCGCCGGTGTGGCTTTGCCGGGGAAGCGGGGGGGGGGAGGGGGCGGTCCCCCATCTGGCGTTTTCTTTATGATTTGCGCATCCGGACCCGCCCCGGGGAAAGGGGGGGGGCGGGGGGGCCGTCCCCCATCTGGCGTTTTCTTAATGATTTGCGCATCCCCAAGATGTTTCGGGGGGTCCCAAGGACCCCCCTCAGATCTAGCCGCTACCGCCCCCTGGACCCTCCCCTCGGAACCCTCCCCGGCCACCCCCCGGGACCGCTCCAAGCACCCCCCCAGATGAGAAGAAAGAGGACCGGAAGAATCGAGGAGGGAGGAGGCCACAAAGCCGCGAAGAGCACCGAATCCGGAGCCCCCCGGATCGGCGGCACTGGCCGGAGGCCATTCCAATATGGTTTCACGCCCATCCTTAGGTCGGGCGTGTCCCCCGACAGGCGGATTTTGGACGAAACATAAAACACTGCCCATTTGGAATCTGTTTGAATACTTTTTAAATGTTCCTCCTGTAGAGGGACATGCCCGACTTCCATACCGAGCAGGCAGCGCGCACACACATACCCTCCAAAAACAATGCTTCTTGCGACGGCCACGGCCAACATGAATTCCACTTTTCGCCAGACCACTTCATCCTCGATCTTCTCAGCGAAACGGACCCAAGGCCTGCGTCGCATGCCGTCACCCGCTGGATGTGGTAGCAACTGCCTTACCCGTGGTGTTGTAACCATGCCCCATGCCGTCGTTTCTGTAAACGGTGTGGGCGGCCAAGAAGCCCTTACAGTACGGGCATGCCAAAAGAGGACGTCGAGCTGCAAGGTCTGGAACTGCCGCAGAACAGCGGTACCCGCTGGGTTCGCAAGAGGAGCCTCAAACGTGAGCCAACATGGCTACGGCGGAATCGGAAAAGAGGAGCTGTGTATATTGGAGGAGAAGGTGGCGGATGCGCAGGAGAATGAGCAGAGAAAAAAAGAGGAAGAGGAGGAGGAGGAGGAGGAGGAGGAGGAGGAGGCGGAGGACGATCCCGTGTTGAGGGGGCAGACCGCTCTCGGGAAGTGCTCGGGGGAGAGGGGAGAAGAGAATCCGCGGAGAGGGACGGTGGGGGGAGGGGCAGTGGGAAGGGGAGGGACGGAGAAACGTGAGGGGAGGAAGGAAGTGTCCTCGTCCTCCCTCCTCCTCTTGCTCCTCCTCTTGCCCTCTTCTCCTCCTCCTCCTCCTCCGCATCGCTGTCCTCCTCCTCCTCCCCCTTCTGCTCCTCCTGCTCCTCCTCCTCCTCCTCCTCCTCCTCCTCCTCCTCCTCGTCCTCCTCTCGTCCGCCAGCACCTCATCTGCTGGGCGGTCCTGGTGGACTGCTTTTCGCTGCTCTGCAGGTCCTCGAGCTGGACGAGCAGGGCTGCCTGGCCGAGGAAGGGGAAAAGGGACGACTCGGAGAATGATTTTTGAAAGACTTGGAGATCTTCGGCGCGATGTGACGTGTTACAAGATGTTCGATGGGGGCCCTGGCAATCCGGACCCCCACCCTGTCCCCCATTCGCTGTCTACTCCACCGCCTTCTACCTTCTCCCCTCCACCTCTCACCGCCCTGCTTCTCCTCGTCCTCCTTTCTCCTCCACCGTGTGTGCCTCCTGCTCTCCCCCTCTCCCCCGTCTGCCCCCCTTCTTTCATCCCCTGTTGTTCTCGTTTATCCCCTTCTTCCTCGCCCTCCTGGAGCCCCCTGCCTCCTCGGCGGGGGCCGCCGGCTGTTCCACAGAGTACTCGCCCGCCCGTCCCCCTTCCCCAGGTTGCCTCTGCATTCGGGCCTGGGCCAGGAGATCATCCCGCAAGAGCACGAGACCCTCCGTCGGCCAGAGCAAACAGAACGTCCGAAGGGTAGCCCCTCCCCAGTGTGCACAAGCACATCCAACAAGCACAAAGAACACGAATGCATTGCGCCAGAGAACTGCATTGCGCTGTATTGCAACGAATGCAATGAACGCGACAATCCAGCAATACATTTGCGAAACGGTATTGCAACCCCACAAACCTATTGCACCAAATCTATTGTACTACCCTGTGTTCGCTGGACCCCCTTTTGGGTCAACCAGAGTAACAATCGGGATGGGCTCAACGCCATCAGATGTAAGGCAAGATCTGCCTGTCCCTGGACAGGCCGACGGCTGTGTTCTGCCGACTGCAAGATCAGTCTGCCCCTGCCAAATGTAAAACAAACTATGCTTGTTCTAACGGCCTGAAGCCGTTTACAGGAAAAATATAGATTCAACCATATTGGTTTGCATGCCGCGCCGCTGAACGTGGAAAGCAACAAATAACCTTCTCGATTGACGAACAAAAACCCCTTACAGCAAAACATGAATCACGGAAACCTACCGTCGAAGAACCCACCTGGCCATTTAACCCTCTGGCACGCCCTGCCTCCGGCCAGTCCCAGCTAACCTTTTCCAACCCATACGACGCGTCTTCACAGGTCCAATCCTCTCGATAACCTATGTATACACTCATCGATGGGGCCTGTGGTTGCTTTCCTTGGCCTTCCCCTCCCCGACCCCCCGACCCCCGCCCGTGCGGCCGACGGCCTTCTGCTGTCCGTACTCCTCCCTCTTCGCCAGCGCCTTCTCCACGGCAGGCTTCGGCGCCTTCTCCAAGAACGTAGGAGTGATCTGCTTCTCAGACTTGGCAAGCATTCCGTTGACGAAGTCCTGCTCCAGATGTATCGAAAGACCAACTAAACAAACTGGGTTTGCCAGTGCGGTCCCCAAAAAATCGGTTGTTGCACTGCATGTGTATATCTGCGGGCATCTCGTGTATTATACAACGTGTGGGTTGCAAAATAATTGGTACACTCTACGCGATACATGGTGCAACCCACGGGGTACAATGGTGCAATGTATGGGATTCAATATATGTCGCCTCATACGAATGGCGTGGGGCCTAAGGCATGCAATCCACGTAATATAGGCTAGGTGGTGCAATATTTGTGTTCCATTCCACGGTACGTAGTCCATGTGGTGCGATTTTCGGTGAAATCCTCGTGGTGCAATTCACGTGGTACAACTTGCGTCGTAGAATGTGGTGCCTCGTATGTGGTACAAGTACCTTCCCGCGCGAGATGCGCGCGTGAACACCTCCCATGCTAGTGCAAATATCCCACCCTCCAACCGATTGACCTCACCGAGCGCACTGGCGCGCGGAAATAAAACGTGCCGGCCAATCCATCCCATGGTTGGCGAAACGGAGACGTGCGGTGGTAGCCTCTGCGGGACCAGCCTGACGGGCAAACGTTCGTGCATGTTTCATGCCACGCGGCCTGCCACGCGTCCACGAGCGAGACGGGGGAGGAAAGGAAAGAGGAGGCTGAGAAATATTGCGCGGAACGAGCAACCAAACCAACAACGACAGATGTCGTCCGCAATTGGCCTACACCTGGAGCACTCCACGCGCGACCGACCTGCCGCCGTCAAAGGTGGGTGTGGGCATGGAGCCCGTGTGGACGAGGAGACAGGAGGAAACGGGAAAGGAGCAGATTACGGGCGCTATCCAGCTGCTTGTTCAGGCGCTGCAGCTCCTTTTCGATATCGACCTCCTGCTCTGGGGGAAGCATGTCGACCTCCAGGCCGTCGGCCACCTCACAGCCAGCGTGCGCTCTGGAGGGGAGGCGGAAGAGCTCCTCTCACACAACATGCACCCTGCACAGCCTCTCTGCAATTGACAAAAATCATCACGCCACAATCAAAGAACGAAAATTAACCAAACACGGAAACTCCGCAACGCCACGAGCACATCATCGAACAACCGAAGTGACAGAATCAGCGACGGTGCCAGGGATTGATCCTGAATACCACCCACCATCACTGGGCTTCGTTTAGAATCGCACCCTCCTCATCATGCTCTGAGTGGGAGGCGGAGGAGCACGGGGGAAATGAGGAGGAGGGCAGGAAGGGAAGATACAGCAGGGAAGGGGGGAGGGAGGAGGAGCTTGTGGCTGGAGGGAAGGGGGGAGGGAAGGGGGGAGGGAAGGGGGGAGTGAGCAGGCAGGGAAGGGGGGAGGGAGTGATGGTACGGAGAAAACGGCGCATAAGAAGGAACACCTCCGATCCCACCCCGTTGGGCGGCCCCAGGCCCGGGCCACCACGCTGCGGACGACGCCGTCCGGCGTGCCCTCGCCGCGACCTTTGATGTCGCGCGCCTGCCGCGGTGCCGCCGCGGGGCCCGAGTCCGCCCACTCTCCCCGCCCTCTTGCCGCCTCCGGACGCCGTCGACGGCGGCGACGGGAGCGCACGCCCGCCTCCTGCTCCATTCGGACGAGTACCAGATTTCAGATCGTGTCGGGAATCCCACCTGCTCTCCAGGAGCATGTGGTTCAGCACGCCGATGTCAAGAGAACACTTCCCCTGGATGCCACAACATAGCCCCAATATCGTGCAACATGGCCCCAAGGTGGCATTCCGAGGCCCCCAGACGCAGCCAACACCGACCAAGAATACCCTGAAGAGCTCTCTTCTGGCACCACCATCCATGCCCTCAGTGGCCCCCACGATCGCCCGTGCATAGCCCCCTGGTGTTGTGAGCTGATCCTCGGGGCCCCCGAGGATGCCCCCAGGAACTTCATAGATGGCTCAAGCCGAGCTCGACCCGAGCAGTGCATGCCGTGACCGTTTCGCTTGCGGGTTCCTCGGCTTCGTCTTCGTTCCGCCTTCTGGCTGCGAAAACGACCTCGAAACGAAAACGGTCCACGAAATAGCCAAACCGCTGTTTGGGTCGAGCCCTGGGCTCAAAAGGGCCCCGAGGAGGGCCGAACGTTGTCTCGTGGTAGCTTGAAGCTGGCGCTCCGCCCTGGGGGGGCAGCGGCAGAGAGCACAGCCCAGGCACAGGAGAGCACGCTTTGAAAAGGAATCGCCCCCTCAGTTCCGGTGGCAGCTGACGGGAGCCTACAACACCATCTTGTCGGCTCTTGCGAATCGACGCTGGTCGACGCTAGATCGACGCTAAATCGCTGCTTATCGACGCTAAGTCGGGCTACCCCATCGATTCCCAAACGCGAACGGACGCTAGTCGACGCTGAAGACGGAATTAAGAGGGGTTCCCATGGTTCGCTACCGAACTCAGTCCGCCGACCCCTTGGGGTCACGGCGTGTGAGATGCTTCCCCCTCCCCAAACCCCTTCCCCCGGGGGCCTGGTCCTGCCGGTTTGGAGGGGTGGGGTGGGGTGGGGTGGGGTGGGGTGGGGGGGGGGGGGGGGCAAATCCACCATCCGCACACTTGGAGCCGCAGGAGGCCCCAAAACAGCCCAAAAAGGTTCCAAAGGTCCACGGAACGGTCCAAGAGAGCTACGAATCGACGAAAGGTCGCCCCAAAACGCAGAAGATTGCCTCCAAACGGCTCCATAAGTCCCCAAGACGTTGAAGACTTTATCATCATACCTACCGGTGTGATCTCGCACTGCTTTATTTCGACCGACCGTGTGCCCATAATGCGGCCGTGCTGGTGGTTGTGCTGGCGGCCGTGCTGGTGGTCGTGGTTGGTGGACGTGCTGGTGGTCGTGCTGGTGGTCGTGCTGCTGGCCGTTCTGGTGGAGGTGCTGGCAGTCGTGCTGGTGGTCGTGCTGGTACTTGTGCTGGTGGTCGTGCTGGGGAGGTGCTGGTGGTCGAGCTGGTGGTCGTGCTGCTGGCTGGTCGTGCTGGTGGTCGTGCTGGTGGTCGTGCTGGGCTGGTGGTCGTGCTGGTGGTCGTGCTGGCGGTTGTGCTGGTGGTCGTGCTGGTGGCTGGTCGCGTTGGTGGTTGTGCTGGTGATCGTGCTGGCGGTCATGTTGGTGGCCGTTCTGGTGGAGGTGCTGGTGATCGTGCTGGTGGTCGTGCTGGTGGTCGTGCTGGTGGTTGTGCTGGTGGTCGTGCTGGTGGCTGGCCGTGCTGGAGGTGCTGGTGGTCGCGTTGGTGGTCGTGCTTGGTCGTGCTGGTGGCTGGCCGTGCTGGAGGTGCTGGTGGCTGGTCGTGCTGGTGGTCGTGCTGGTGGTCGTGCTGGTGGTCGTGCTGGTGTTTGTGCTGGTGGTCGTGCTGGCGGTCGTGTTGGTGGCCGTTCTGGTGGAGGTGCTGGTGGTCGTGCTGGTGATCGTGCTGGTGGTCGTGCTGGTGGTTGTGCTGGTGGTCGTGCTGGTGGCTGGGCGTGCCGGTGCTTGTGCTGGTGGTCGTGCTGGCAGTCGTGTTGGTGGCCGTTCTGGTGGAGGTGCTGGTGGTCGTGCTGGTGGTCGTGCTGGTGGTTCTGCTGGTGGTCGTGCTGGTGGCTGGCCGTTCTGGAGGTGCTGGTGGTCGTGTTGGTGGTCGTGCTGGTGGTCGTGCTCGCGGTCGTGTTGCTGGCCGTTCTGGTGGAGGTGCTGGTGGTCGTGCTGGTGGTCGTGCTGGCCCCTCCCCCTCCCCCCTCTGCGCCCCCCTCCCCTTATTCCGACCGACCGTGGGCCACCCCCCCCGCTTCTCCCCTGCGCCCCCTTCCCATTATTCCGACCGACCGTGGGCCACCCCCCCCGCTCCTTCCCTGCGCCCCCCTCCCCTTATTCCGACCGACCGTGGGCCACCCCCTCCGCTCCCCCCTTGCGCCCCCCTCCGCTTATTCCGACCGACCGTGGGCCCCCCCCCGCTCCCCCCTTGCGCCCCCGCCCCCTTCTTCCGGCCGCCCGTGGGCCACTCCCCCCGCTCCTCTTCTGCGCCCCTCTCCCCTTATTCTGACCGACCGTTGGCCCCTCCCCCTCCCCCCCTGCGCCCCCCTCCCCTTATTCCGACCGACCGTGGGCCCCCACCCCCGCTTCTCCCTTGCGCCCCCCTCCCCTTATTCCGACCGACCGTGGGCCACCCCCTCCGCTCCCCCCTTGCGCCCCCCTCTCCTTATTCCGACCGACCGTGGGCCCCCCCCCGCTCCCCCCTGGCGCCCCCGTCCCCTTCTTCCGGCCGACCGTGGGCCACTCCCCCCGCTCCTCTTCTGCGCCCCCCGCACCCCTATTCCTTATTCCGACCGACCGTGGGCCACCCCCCCTTCCCTCCCTTGCGCCCGCCGTCCCTTAGTCCGACCGACCGTGGGCCCTCCCCCCCCCGCTCCTCCCCTGCGCCCCCCTCCCCTTATTCCGCCCGATCAGGGCCCCCATCCCACGTTCCCTCACTGCGCCCCCCTTCCCCCTTGTTCCGACCGACCGCGCCCCCCCCCCCCCCCCGCTCCCCCCCCTGCCCCCCCTCCCCTTATTCCGACCAACCCGGGCCCCTCCTCATCCCTTCCCCCCTGCGCCACCCTCCCCTTATTCCGACCCCGACCGTGGCCGCTCCCCCCTTGCGCCCCCTTCCCCTAATTCCGACCGACAGTGTGCTCCCCCCCCCCCCACCCTGCGCCCCCCTCCCTAATTCCGTCTCGACCCGTGGCACCCCCCCCCCCGCTTCCCCCCTGCGCCCCCCTCCCCTTGTTCCGACCGACCGTGCCCCCCCCCCACCCGCTCCCCCCCTGCGCCCCCCTCCCATTATTCCGAACCGAACCGTAGCGCTCCCCCCGCTCCCACCCCCACTCTGCACGCATCATCGTCCTTATTCCGACGAACTGTGCCCCCCCCCGCTCCCCCCCCCTGCGCCCCCGTCCCCTTATTCCGACCGACCGTGCTCTTAGGTGGCCCTGAGGGCGGCGCCCAGGAGGAACACCATCTCTGACCCGATTCGCCCAGGGCTGGCTCGGAGTACTTTTCGTCTGGGGACCCCCAGGGACCCCCCCGCGCGCGCGCGAACTAGAAATATTCGGAAGCAGTTCCCGGAGATCTTAGCACGCCCGTGGCCCATGGGGCCGGCGACTTTCTTCGCAGGATGCGACAGGGCCCAACGCACCCTGACCTCTGCAAGCGCCGTGGGGGGTTCCATAGCCGTGGCGATTCTTTCTGTAGCCGTTTTGGCTCCACCATGCCGCCTTCCGTCGTGAGGAAGCGGCCGGCCGCGGGCTCCGCGCTCCCCCCGCGGCCTGCCCGCAGTGTGGCGCGACGTCGTCCTGCTGCCGCCCCCACTGCAGCCCTCTTATCCAAGCCAGACGTTGCCCCACGCAAGCGGCGCCGCAACGCTGCGTACGCCGCCAAAGAAGCAGCCCGAGAGAAGGCGCGCCGCGCTGCTGCCACCGCCGCGCAAGCCGCGGCAGCTACTGCAGGCGCCCCCGCACCCCACCCGGAGGCTGCCCGAAGCGCCAAGAGGCGAGCTGCTATCACCGCCGCGCAAGCCGCGGCAGCTACTGCAGGCGCCCCTGCATCCCACCCGGAGGCTGTCCGAAGCGCCACGAGGCGAGCAGCTGCTCCTGCAACGACCACTGCCGGCGACGCCACGCCGCTGGACTTCATTGAACGACTACATTCTGAATCTGGATACCAGGTGTCACGACATTCCAGACAGCTCCGCCATCGGGACGCCGCGACGGCGCCACCTTCTGACGACGCCCTCTTCGACCAGATAACCAACGACGTTCGCACTTTCTGTACCGTTACGGCCGACGACCAACGCAGAATGGTCCGAGCTTACTCCGCGAAGATGGATCATGCCGCTCCTCTCCCTGGATGCGGTTCCTGCGGTCGCCGCGACCCTGCGTTCCCTGCCACGGAGCGCGTTCGGCTCGAAGACTTGCCTCCCGACCATTGGCTCTTCCTCACGCATGACGAATGCAGAGACCTCGACGCCATGCCTGCGGTGACTTTCTGCGAGGCTGACGGCTCCACGCGCACCGTCGAGACCAAAAGCATCCGCAGCTATGTCTCCATCGGCGCCTCCGCGAGGCTGCACCTGCACCCGGAGCTCACGCGCACCATGCCGGACGGTGGCCACGAGACGTTTCTATGCGAGAGTTGCGCGCGGCCGCTGTCGGATCCGGCGGCCGCTCCGCCTTCGCGACCCTTGGCTTCGGGACGGGATTTCGGGCTGCTTTCTCGAATCGGGCTCGAAACTCCTTCCGAGGCTGAAGCCCTTGCCCTCGCAGACGTGCGCCTCTACAGCCTCGTGGCCAAAATATATGTCCCTGGACAGCGCTCCAGCGCAGCATCTAGGTCTGTCCTCAAGGGCCACATGATCGCATTCGTCCACGACGGGCCCACCGCCATCGAAGCCCAGTTCAACGCCGCCCGACTCCGCAACGTACTGGAGCACATCCAGGTGGTCTACGTCGGCAACACCGACCGAGTCACCAACCTCG